TAGTTAAAATAAGACGTAAAAAACATTTTTAAAAAAGGAGGATATATGTAAAGCTTTCAACTGCTTGTTAAAAAAACCCTTAAAAATAAAAGTAACTGATGTCAGTAAAGGGTTGTTATGCTCAAAAAATTTTCTAGTCTTTGATTTTTATTGTTTTATTGTAGTTTTGTGTTGTGTGGGTTGGTTTTTTTTTTGCTGTGGTTTTCTGTTTGTGTGTTGGGGTTTGGTTGGTTTTTTACTCACCACACAGGACTGAATAAAGTGAGCAAATAAATACCTGTTGCATTTTACGTCTTTAACAGGTTGATGTTTTATACAAAAGATTCAAAAGAAGTCAAGCTATTTCATCTGAGAGCTACAGAATTTAATACCTGCATTCCCTATCCAGTCTGACTTTAATATTAAAGAATTCATATTTTTTCCACTGAACCAAGATATATAAAAGCAGGCTTGAGAAAGCACTAACTGCGTAACTTAGGCAGACCAAACTAGGGAAGCAATAGCTTAGCTTGTTAAAGACAATGGTTTTACCTTTGCCCATTTCCCTTTAAACATTTACATAATGTTTAGAAAGCGTTGAGCATTTTGACAATCTCTAGGGTTTTTTTGAGATCTTTAAATTAAATTACTGTCTTTCTAGGACAAGACATAGGAAAAGGAAGGCCTAAGGAACCTTTTTTTACCCACCACAATACAATGATCTAACGAAACTTTCATTCTATTCATAGCTTCAAGACCAATTTGTTCCAGTAAATTTAAATGTCTTTTATAGATTTTTTGCAAGATAAACACACATGCAGGGAAACTCATCTCTAGATAACTGCAAACTCCAACTTCTTGAAACATTGAGCTTCTGCCCCATAAAAATACTAGAAGGTAACAAGTGTGTAATCATTTATGTACTTGCCTGTCAAGTATCTCATATTCACTGTCAGATTTGTACAGTGCTATCAGCCTGGATTCCATCAAAATGTAAATCTTTCCTGTGGAATTATCTAGAATATAAAATAAAACAAAAAGTTTCATAAATCTCAATTTAATACCCTCACTTGCACCATTACAAAACCTTTCCATTTATGCAAGATAGTATCACATGAGCTATAAAACTGCCCAGAATAATCCCGCTGATCGACCACTAGTTTCCAGCTACTTCTTCCCCATACAGTCATCACTCAATGGACACTTTTCAAAAGTAAAGTTTAAACAAAAATCACAGGATGAAATCCAATCCACTGACCTTCAGTGGGTTTTTTTAGAGAGGCAAAAATACCCTACCTTATCATTGTGTCAAAGAAAAGCAACTGAAAAGTTTCAGTATATGTAACTGAAACAGAAGGAAACAATTGGAAGATGGAAAATTACTACATAAAATCAGTATTATTAAGTCGACATTAGAGGTAATGATTGCACTTTATTGGTGCCTTTCTGAGATTTACTATTCCAATCAATTTTATTCTTGGATTTCTTTTTAAAGGAAGCAAATATAAATAAAAAGTGAAACTATTATCCTACCAACTTAGTCAGGATCACTACCCCACCAGCAGTCTGTACGTCAAAAACAAACTCAACAACTCAGCATCTCAGGCAGATGTAGGTGCTATTTCTGAAAGTACTCACTAACTCTTTTTGAGATGACCAAATTTATATTAAAATCTTTGAAGACTGAAACATACTTAGTTCTCTCTTAAAATAAAGAAAGCTCAAACACCTGGCATTCATTGTAAAGAGCTTCTGCAACTTCTCATGTTTAACATCACCTTAGGCACACATCAGATTCATGTGGTTATGTTGGAACTGGAAATCATACCTTTGGCACTTTTTTTACTCCAGATTAAATGCCATCATTAACTTTAATATCTCCTCCCCCTCCCCCTTATTTTTTTTTTTAAAAAAAGGACACTGAGAAGTCAGAAAAGGTGAGCAGCTTGGGAGAACCTGAGAACAGCAATACAAGAAGTACTTTCATACAAATTCTTGCTTACTTTTTTATTTAAATTAAAAAAAAAAAAAGAGTTTTTTAGATGAAGATATAATTAATGACAACTGCATTTTGAGGATAAATAAATTCCTCTCCTAAGCAAAAAGGAAGACACATCATAACATACTCCATTGCCAATTGAAAAAAAAAACCACAGAACTGCAAAACCTGGAAAACTACTTGAAGCAGTAACAAGAAAAGCAACAGCCTATATTTTTTAGGCACCCTACATGGTCTGTTGCATGCAATTCCTGAAGTGCTGGGTCCTCCATGAAAAAAAATACCTCACAGAACAACTTGTTTAGCCAGGCACAACCAACCGGTCCACGAGTAAGCCAAGGCACTTGGTCACATGTACTCTTAGACTGGAAACCACAGCACCCACCTTGCCTTACGTCTGTGCCAAAAACAACACTTCAGCCAGGTCGAGACTCGCATGTGACATCCTGGGGCTGTTACAGGTTAACAGTACAGAGATGTTCAGTTACTGCAACTTTGCTGTCATGTAGCAGTAACTTGTTCATGAGTCTGGACCCCAAGAAAGGAGGGAACAAAAAAAAGCTGGGGACGCCCAGACACACTTCCCTGTCTCAAATATAGTGTGACTTTAAGAAGATAGATAAAACATTTGCTCTTGTTCTTTATTTCATCTATCAATATTTCTTAGGGAACAGTTCTCACGATGCATGTAAAATAAAAAGAGCACAGTGGTTAGAAATCATCAGGATTTACTCCACACAGGAAGTAAATCTCATCCTTCAGAATAACACTGATACAACTTCAGCAAAGTGCTATAAATTCAGCATAAAACAGTCTATCATACAAAATACAAGTATATATTCACAGGCACTCAAGAATGAAGTGTTCATTTTATGTCACCTTCAGTTAACACTTGCCTCTCAGTTTTACATATTGCAATTCTGGATTAACGCAGAGGGCCAAATTACTAGGCAAGGTCCAAGGAGTAGTGGTCCAAGCAACAAGAGAAACACTTGCATCTTCATCCAGTGGGAAACTCACAATCACTGAAGGATCTTGAACATCCTTAAAAACAAGATAAAGTCAAAGAGGGGAGAAAAGAGACAGTGGGGAAAAAAAATGTTTTACTGCACGTATCAGTGAGAAAATACAAATTTAAGTAGTAATCACTATTACTGCCATCCACCAAAACCTATCTTGCAACTTGCAGCTATCTCTTAATAAGAAGCTGTTTTTATTAAAAAGGGAAAAAAGTCTGAGGTACTTAAAAACTAAGAGTAAGTCAATATTTTAGAGTAAAAAAATCTCAGAAGACGACCTTTGTCAGCTCCTCTGTAAAATCATCCTTCAAATGAGCCAAAAGAACCTCCTGAAAACAACTTTTTCTTTCAGATAAGTACAATCCTATTCAGTCATTTCACATTCCACATATTATGAAAAGCAGATTGAAAAAGCAAGTCTAATCCTGCAAATGTGTAATTTTCACTATTAATTTTAAATGCCAATCAAAAACAGGAACCGTGCACACAGACCCCAAACACACAAATAGGTCCAATCCCCTCACCACGTCTAGCGCAAGGCTCTCTGGTTTCCACCAGCATCACGGAACAGTTAACAGCATCATGGGACAGACAGCTATTTATGTCAGAGCTAAGGGCTGCTCCAGAGGGAATTTTCTGTGAACATCTGGTGCAGTCAACAGTAAAACATAAATATTACATAACTCTGGAACCGCACTCGATGCCAAGCAAAGATCGAGCCATCAGTACAGTTCTGTCTCTACCAGTTGTCAGACAACACTGTAGGCTATTCACTTGTTGACCAGGTAGATCAAAACCAACCGGAAAGCCATAAAAAAATAACACCCAGACTGCCAAGTAACAGCATTGTATAATGTTTTATCTGTTCACAAAGTTATGCCTGCTTCCATCTGAAGACACCCCTTCTTCAGTTACACGTAATACAAGCTGCTGACATGGTTTACTCAAGTGTACACTAGACACTTAAGTCACTTTCTAAACTTGCTTCGTGTGTCCTGTTTCTCATGATTTGTGTCCTGATTCTCACAGGATCGATACACAGAAGCCAAAGTCTGCTTTCCACGGTGAGAAAGACAACAGCTGCCTTACATACAAAAATGACAGGTCTCACCAAGAATAAATCATGTCAGCTTATGGACCCTCAACATTTCAGGCTTCAAAATATCACCTCTAGCAGACAAAAAAGAAGATGATTTTTGCATGAAGTGGCAGAGTAGCACACCCTGTACACACACTCTACTGGTTCTAGGGTAAGAAATAGAATCTAAATAGTTCATTAAGACTCAAGAAGAGAAGAAAGCTTTGCTCTATGGAAAAGTGACACACACACAAAAAAAACCCACATCCCAAAATAGTCTTTGTTCTAAAGAAAGCTCATTAATCTGACTCTATATGAAATGTCAATTGATAAGTACGAGCAAAGTAATTATTTCAGTTGTCAGACAGTCACAAATATCAAGGTATCTTTACAGGTCTCACTTTCTTAAATCACAAAACCTTTATTCTTCAGTATGGTCAAATATCCCTCAGCAACATGGAAAGCTCCAGTATCTGTGGACTGCATTGTACTACAGTCTATTTAAACGTTTGTTTTAAAACCACTATTTTTGGCCAGAAAATCAGCCTTTTTCAGGCAAGATGTAAAAAAGACTAGATGTACAATTTGTGCTCGCTCTCTGCTGTAACAATGTAAGCGAAGGATTTACGATATAAGGATATGGAGGCCTGAGTGGGGATTGGAAAGGATACAAAACCTCTGTCCATAAACTAACATGAAATTTGGAAAACTGGGACATGAGTTCTGCCTTCACGTATGTGAACACAAGTTTGTTGCAAATGAGAATCTGCATCTACTACATCTAGTCATTCATTTTTAAAGAAACATCTTATAAAAGAGCATATCATGCGTTATATCAGATAAAACATTTCCTGGAATTTCTCAATCTAAATTAATGATTCTTAGAAGAGCTACTATCGAACTGCTCTACAACCAAACACAATCTTTGACAACTCTTATTAATCCCCTCACAGAAGACTTCAACTCTGCCAAGGACCTTCCTTTTTATGGATCTGCACAGACAGGGACAGCTGCAGTTCTCTTTTAAGTATTTACCATAAAAACCCAACACAATGCAATACTCATCTTGAGAGCCCAGAGAGGAAGTGAGAGTAATTTACCAGAATAAAACAAAGTACGTACTTTATATACTGGCAAGTAGTAACCAAGAAGAACACGGAAGGCAGCTGACATGAAGTGATCCAAACAAATACAGTAAAAGCCAACCTATTTACCTAAACTTTTCCTATCAGTTTGGAGTGTAATAATATGCTTATGTACCACCAAGCAAAAAATACTAAAGCTTTCCAAATCCAAACTGAAAACAATAGAGAAATCTGATTGCGACACGTAACGTACACATATTCTGACTTACCTTGTAATTCTGATGGGACTCAAAGTTTGACAGCGGGGTGTTGCAAGCAGTCGAAAAAGGCATGACCTTAACACCTCTATACACCAGTCCTTTGTCATACAGTTGCTTGAAAACCCACCTGGAAGTAAACGAGGAACATGAAACAGCACTTGGCGTTCCAAATTTAGTAAATCAACTGCAAAATGAGGTTCTGCTTTAGCTGGAGTGCTGTTCTAAATGACATCCTTTTTTTAAACAATCAATCATCAACTAAAGACAATATTTGCAAGTCAAAAGGAAAGAGATAAACTGATTGCAACTGCATTTCTGGCTGATTTTTAGCTTTAGAATCTGGCTGATTCTAGCAGCTTGGTTTTCCCTGCACTGACTGCATGTGGTACTTTGATGAAACACAAATCCGTATTACTTAATCTTTCTCAAATTTCTTGAATACAAAGACCACCTGAAATACGAACTATTAACAAGGCTGAAATCAGTCATAATTTAGAGAGAAGACATGTAGTGACATGAGGGCTCATTTATCACGTGATCTTAAGCACCTACTACAGCAACCAGTGCTACAGAAGAGAGACAGATACCTGTTAGAGATACCTGCAACTCACCCCAAGTAAATCCTGACAGTCTGAAGAGCATTTTTCACAAGAGGGCGCAGCTAACCATGCAAAGTAATTAACTCAGTTATATGGTACCACAATTTACATTAATGTTCTCCTTTATTAGCTCATCTCACTCAGCTCCTGTCCCAGATCACATCATTCTCACATCAAGCTTTAATTCTGTTTATGAAGTCTTCAGCACAGTCTGTAGAAGATTTGGATCTTTACATCTTCTTGAAATAATCCAGACAGCACATAATACTACAACACGACAAATGGAGTCAATGCTCAAGATGAAGAGAAGCTAGAAGAGAAATATACTTCACATAGCACCTCATCAAGTGTCCACGTGACGAACAAAACCCCACATTTCCCTGTATCTGAATACTGCAGGGTTTGCTATAGGATCATCAACGTTTGTCAGCTTATCAGGTCTCACTGACTTGCACGCTTAGTGGTATAATCTGCAGGTTAGCAGAGGGCAGGAGAGGGCAAGCCTTAAATCATCATGCCAGCTTCAACTCAGAGCTTCTGCAGAGTCTGGTCATTTCAAATTCCACATCTAAATTGTTAAACAGTGCTGACTTCAAAAACTCCTTTGCTCAAACTATGTTTTCAAAGCATCCTGATCACTTTTCTGGATCCCTTTCCAGATAAATAGCTCATTGCTAAGCAACCAACCCCATTCTTGGCAAGCAGCACTTTTTTTCTGCAGGCTGTCATTTTGTGCTTGAGAATCTGGACTGGTATTTAAGTCAGTGTCTTGCCTTCTATGTTTGAAATCCTAATCTTCAAGACAAAACACGAGTAGATTATTGCACTGATTTCTATCTGCAGCCTGAAACAAGAACATCAAAAGATACACACTGGCTTGTCATGGAAGTCATACGGTATCTTAATCAGAATAATTATTGTGCTGCAGATCAGACAGTTGGAGAACATATAGACTGTCATACGGAGAAGACATGCAGTTCACTCAGATTCATCCGTGGGCCTCTAGCAAAAGTCCAAAATTTCCTATGAATGGTCACTAATATCAGAAAAATTAAATAATCTGAATTCTAAGGTGGATAAAGACTAAGAGATCCTCTGCGGCATCAAGTTGTGCCACAAAGACGCCAAACCTGGAAGCCCTTCAGAGCTGTGCACTCCAACAAAGGTGCCTTACCTTACACGCACAACTCAGAAGTAACCTTGTTAAAGTAACAAATGTCACCCACAGGCAAGCTGGGGCTGCCTGACCCCAAATCCAAGTTCGAAACATAGTGAGGGCATCTGTTTTACAGAGACTGCATCAACTTAAACTTGCATAAACATAAATCTGTCTTTTATAAAAACGATTCGTGTATATAGTTTCATCAGCGTTAAACATATACATTTGAGCTGGCTAATTGCAGAAATTTTCTTGCAAGTTAAAAAAAATCTAAATGTATGCTTACCATCTCAGAGCATAATTAATGCAGACTGTGACAAAGTGACAGCATTTACACTGAAGGTGTTCTACTTGCCTTTCAGAAACAGTTAACTAAAATAGCTATAGAAAAAAAGCTCCACTTTATCTCTACTTTCTATAGAACACTGCCTACTAACAGCAGAGAAGAAAACTACTCAGAGAAACACTGAATATTTAATTCAGCTGTAAATATAACTGTAAACTTCAGGAAAGGTGAACACTAGATGGAGCTGCCAAGTTAAAAATCCAAGCCAGCATCTCCCTCTTGTGGGAATTGTGCCCTATTGCAAACCAAGTGCTCCCCAGCTGTTCCACTGAGGAGCAAGACGAGCTTTCAAACCGTTATCATTCTTCAGAGCTCTCATCACAGTTCGTAACGACCGCTCCTTCATAGTTTACCATAACCACTTCCCCAGACAACCATTCCGACATAACAAGTAGAACTGTGATTGAGTCAAGACTGCTGCTTGCTGCAATAGCCTTCGGTATCGCTACAAAAAGCTGTTCTGGTACCTCGAAAAACACCTAATCGCTTTCCCTTAACAAGAAAGCTGAGAACAGTTCTTGTGTGACCATCAGAAATGCACAGGAGATGACTCTCCAAGAGCTTCTGCTAGCAGCACTGCCCACCTAAAACAAAGCAGCTGCTGAAGATGAACCTAGCTCAAACAGTAAGAGGCACTTATATCATGTTTTGCTTAGAAATCCAACACATCATATTTTAGACAATAACCGATCAAACAGTGGTTTAACCCTTATGCTTGCTACATTTTGATAATTTGCAAGAAAGAGGCTCTGGGTTTGTAAACCAAAACTGAAACAGCAGTTCTTTCTGAAACAAATAAGCTAACAAAACCACAGAGCTCCTTTCTACCGACAATCAGAAAAAGTTTATTCACAGAAGCTAAAAATTAAATCCTGATCCCCTAATTTCTGCTACGTTTCTCCTCAAATGTAAATAAACGTAGCTGCATCCTCTTGGCTGTGGCAGCAGCACTTACGTAATCCTTTATTGAAGAAAAATAAGGTTAGGGAAAAGGTGAACTCAAGATGTATAATTCAGCTACTTGTTAACAGAGAATCGGGTCCCTAAAGATGCAAGGTAGCTTTAACTTCTAAAATCGTGACACAAACTGAGAACACACATCTGTTGTTCCTAAAGTGTAACGAGGGCCGGACACAACTGTTTTGAGCCCAGTCAGATTGTGACATTCTCTCACAGCCATAACAACTTCAAAGAAATTAGAATTTTGCTACGTATTTGTTGATCACAGTCACGTACACACCATGCAACCACCACATGGATATAATAAAACTCCTACAAAGGGAGTTTTTGCTTCCAAAAGATACTGCATCAGTCAACGCAACACTCAAAATACCTTTGGCATCCCACACAAAATCCAACAGCCCACAGTATCCTCTAGCAGATGCAAAATCAAGCTGCCCTCTCTTCAAACACATACATTCACTTCATATTGAAAAGAAGGATTTGATCTTGGAGCTTCCCAAGTTCTTGTAATGGAATTTCTTTAGGGTAACAAGTGATTTCAAGTGATTAAGCGGTTCTGTTTGCAATGATTCAGTATCCAAGAATTTTCTAAGGGTTCCAAAACTCCCAGTTTTCCAGAAGATGAAAGTACTTATTACTAATATTGAGAAATTATTTCCAAGCTCATACAAAGTGCTTTTCCCCCTTTTTTTATTTTTAAGAAAAAAATAAAAATCCCAAGAATTGTTAACTCAGTTACCAAAGGCTAAAAGAAAGGTGGGCAGAACATTACGACAGTAGGATCTACAAGTGTATGATTTCCACACATCCATGGTAGTATAGATAACAAAATTACTGCTGTGTGACCTAGTATTGGTTCATGTCAAGATAAAACAAGAATTTAACAGCCTCTGTAGACTTAAAAAAAAAAAAAAACAAATCCAAAAATCAAACACACTACATAAAAGTCCTGCCACCTACACAGTTCAGCAAGCAGACTGCATCCAAACAGCACCATAAGCAACAGGGATTCTGAGGAAAAGGCTCTCCTGTGACTCATGAGCAACACTTGAAAGACAAGATGAAATCAAAAAGAAAGTAACGATCAAAACAGATGCATGGGGACAAAAAAACATAGGACAAAAAAAGTACTGAAACACTGGACATGAGTCAAAAAAACAGCATAAATGTAAGATGAACATTAAGTCCAGTAAAAAACACAAAGTTTAGCATAGCATCTTTGAAAGATACTTTAAGACAGACAGGAAAAGTTTTTTTTCTGGGCCCTAGGAATCGTTAAGTACAGAATTTCCCAAGTTTTATGTTCAACTACCAGTAAAAGCTTTAAAATTCCCGCAAATAGAGATCATTCTGCTCCAGGTCTACCCTCCAAGCTCTCAACTCACAAGAGTGAGGGGATTTCCTGACATAACCTTTGGATCAGTGTGTTGAATGATTCTGGATCAAGCCAGAAGTGCAAAATACCTGTGTAGCAGAAAATATAAGTACCTAAAACTGATGCTAGACTTACCCAAAGATCATCCAAGTGTACTCTTCCTTCAAAATACAGGTAAGAAGATAAAACAAGGACTGGAATGGGCAAGAAGATAACAATAAGGGGAATAGAGCAGTAAATGTGCAAAAGAAATAAAAGCATGAGGAAAAAACGCAGCTAGCATTGGACAAAAGAGATTTCTTATTAACAATATCTCTCTAGAGAATCATTAAAGAAACATAGAATACACAAAATGCATAGTGTATTCCCCTAGGAACTAGTGTATAGCTCCGCTGTACATATAGTACATATGTTCCACTAGGAACATAGTGTATTCCACTAGGAACTAGTATTCTGTTAGGACCCAGAGATCTGTTGTTCTGAAATTAGTCTGGTTTAGTACTAGATAAACTCCACATGCACGAAAAGAAATGAAGGCAGAAAACTACTTTTACTGCTCACGCAGAAAATTTAAAAAAAAAATAACTACACAACAACATAACAATCCAGTTGCTTTGATCTTCACAACAAACTAGTCCTCCTCTCAATGACTCGTCCCCATGCACCTTCTTGCTGAGAAGGGCTAAGGCAGCTGGACACTGGCACCTAGTGACAGAGCTCATCTTGAAAACAGAGTATGAAAAAACTGCCATGCCAAAACAAAAGCAAAGCTACACACAGAGAGTCAGGCAACTCGAGGGAAATGTTCCCGTTTCCAGAGCTATCTACGACCTCTTCAGCTGCAGCCTAGAAGCAGCGTGGTGGCACACCGAGCCTGACACTACTACAGACATCCAAGGGCAGGGCTGTGAGGCCAAAGGCCACACCTGGTAAGGAAGGAAAGGGAGGTCCCCTCTTAATAACAATCCTAAAAGGAAAGGTGGAGCAACTGAGATGGGTCCGGTGGAGGGAAGGTAAAAAACGACAAAAAGCCCCATCACAGAAAGCAGCTCCATACTGCATTTCCACAGTCAACACAGCAGTTTTCAATACAGAGCCATGATCTCAAACATGTAAAGTACCAATTTTCTATCATAACTAGGAATGCTTTTCTTTCTCTCCCCACCCACTATCTAGCATTACCACAAAAGGACTCAAGAATCTTCTTAGGGTACAGAAGTAGCCAAGAAGCATTTCTGCTACCAGTGCTACATGAGCACATTGTAGTTTCATATTATACAAGCAAGTCTTTCAAAAGATAAATAAAACTTTAAACTGTTTTTAAAATTGAACTAGGCTCACACTGCAATTGTTAAATGTAGCCACTAGATGATGACCGAAAGCTGTTTAACTAATGCCAAAAGCTGTGCAAAGGAGGAAATCAAAACCCCAAGTCATCAGACCCAGAAGCATGCCACAGCTCTGACCGCAGAGCTATTCCCCTCCTCTCCTCAGCACTTCGCAGGCTGTTTCCGCAGTGCCCAGGGAGAACTGTTCTTGAGGTGCCAACTCACAAGCCAGTAGTGGAGACAGTAATAGTGGGGTTTTTTTTCCTAAAGCTCATATGCTTCTTTCAGACCAACCACAGATCACCAAAAAGTTTAAGATCAGACCAAACTTCTCTCAATTTCACTGCGTTCATCTCATGAGCTGTACCAAAAAAAAGGTAAGAATATATCGCATGTTTGTTCCATGCTAGCTCAACAACATCATTCTCATTGCACTGTTTTCAGTGAAGGACACATTTTCACCAAGATTCAAGCTGGCTGCAGGACACAAGTTGTACAGAATTAGAATTTAAAGGTTCTATTTAAGTTAAGGCATGAAGAGTTTACTGTATCCTCACATGAAAAGCCATTGCAGTATCACCTCTTAATGACATCAACCTTCCACAGTCTCCTGAAAAATTCTGCCAGGATGCCACAATTTTATCATCAGATGAAGCTTTGTTCTAAGTCAAAATTTAGCAGGCTGAAAATTCATTCTATTCTGTCAGCCACCACATGGCACAGCACCAAAATACTTACAAAGCAGCCATTTCCAACAAACCCTTTATTTATATTTATAAAATATGAAAAAGAATGCTCTCCAGCATCCTGAGCTTCTACAGTATCTCTACAAAACAAGATAATATTAACAAAAGATGTATTTATTGTCTTGAGTCTTGGATAAAATCAGCCACCAGTGGAAACAACATTTATCACAAGTATTGCATTAGCTCACTGAACTCAACACATACATCATGGATGAAAACATGACATTTCACAGAAAGCTAGAAATTCCAGTTCAGCCCACTCCAGAACTGCAAGCCTCAGGAAGAGCTAGAGACAAAAAAAAAAACAAAACACACAAACCTAAACAGATATGTTTAGCTGATGAAAAGACTAAAGACAAAATCCTTACTAATTTTAACCACGAAATCCATGGTTGCTACGCTCACTATCATTATTATCATCAATGTTTTTTTCTGGGCCTAAGAGCAGTGTTCTACTCTCACAGGCAGAACAAAGAAAAAAACAAACAAACAAAAAGGATAAAAACACTGGACAGGCCAATATGATCACCAAGTTACAGCCAATACAGAAATTAATCAGCAGTTTCTCTTTCATACTTAGCCAGACACTAAAGTTTGAAAACTTTTTTTTTAAATTTAAAAAGGAACTTATATATTAAAAAAAAAAATCAACTGTAAGAGGAGTACATTAGAACCTGCCGTTCAAATGAACCCTCCTAATGGACATAAAATGTAACTTCAGTAACACAGATGCACAGATGTTCAGTTTGATGATTGCCTAGGTAACGATCCTTTTTTTTTTTTAGAAAATTGTACATTATTCTGTCAAAGGCACTACTGTACCTACATTTACAGTGCTCTCTTTAAGCATTATCTCCCTTAGCCTTGGAACAGGCACCCTGCATTCCTTTTCAGTTCCCCTCCTCCACCCATTCTATGCGGATACCAGTGGTTCCACCTCTTGATCTACTGCGAGCATAAGCTGGTAATGGCACTGTCACCTGCCCCCAAGACTTAGACTTTCCAGAAAACCTGGGTTTAAAAACAGACTTTTAAAAAAATCTATTTCATTACATGATTACATAGAAAATTAATAGCACCAGGAAGCAAGAGAAGTACAAAATTAAGAGGTTGTCTGCCTACATACTTCCTGAATCTCACACCACAGAGATTTCAGATCCAAAGTTTATATTTTAGAGTCTCTAACCAAAGCAAGCATTAGAGGAGGTAACCTCTGTAAGCCAGGTGAAAGACTAGAAATTTTCTTTGAAAGGGGAAAAAAAAAAAAAAAAAGCCAGAAAAGAACCCACAAAAAAAGGCTTGGGCTGTTGAGAAAGACTCTGCAGCTAGTTCAAGTCAAGCTTGTGTTTTACATGGTCCTTCGAAGATGCTAGTTAAATAGGATTTAAAGGTGCCACTAAGTTATTTTTATAACTTATAAAAGGAAAGTTTCTTGTCAGTCCTTATCGTTATGCAGGGTTTTCTTCAGCTTAGTTAAACATCTGCTCCCTTCGCACCATCTTTTCCAATGCTCATTGAAAACTCACCGGCACTTCAGCCTTCTACAATGGCTTCAGAGACATCTAGAAGTTCTGTTGATCCTATATCATAGCTATATGTAACTAACGATACCATTAAAGGTTATTACTAAAACTAACATTAAAAAACATTAATAAGACTTTAGTATGCATATAATATGCTTTTCAATGTCTTTTTCTCAGCTCATACTCTGCTAACCCTCTCCCTGCAATGCACCTTGTCATTCTATCACCTGAAGGACTCAACATTGCTGCTTCCTCACTGTGTTAGGTCAATTTGATTACCCTTAACTTATAAAGTTGTCTTGTCTTTTGGAATTCCAACAGTCACTCTGCCAAAATGCCCAAACTTCACTTAGCTCTGCACCAGGAGTCCAAGACAGCTGTCAAATTACGCTGCCAAGAAAATGAGAAGAGCAGATTCCCAGCCTCTAAATTCAGGCTTGAAGAGGAGCTTTGGAGCTAAACTGAGTTTGGGTAGTTTGCCCACTTGCAGCTGACAGTGTGGAGAACATCAAGAATGTAGAGATATAACGCAGTTTCTAAACAAAGCAAGGAACATATTAGCAGATCTTCAGAACTGCTTTTAAGTTGACACGGACCAGTAAGATTTTGGGTCTCAATAAAAGCAGCACTGTTGCACTTTATTCTTAAAAACCCCACCATCCTGAAGAACAAAACAGTAGGTCAGTTAATTCCCTCACTTCGCCACCAAGAGACTTCACATCACCTTAATTACTTTGCCCACTGTTTATCTGAATTTGGCATGTTTCAAAATAGTTCTAGTGATGTATGGACAAAGATATGTTTACAACAATTGAAGCCTTCTGAACATTCCAAACTCACAAAGCATGTATGCAGTGTACGTAAGTTAACTTACCACACAGACTCCATGAACTCGGGATAAAGAGTTTTATAGTCATTTTCAAAATCAATCCAGCGTCCTAATCTGGTAACACTGAACTGTTAAGAAACACACAGATGGAAAGGCATCTTAACATTAAAGATCATGATACATTTTCAGTATTTATCCTGTAAAAAAGCTTCATTTTTATGATTAGTGTTTGCCCCATATCAATGAAACACATTATGAAATATTTTAGCCTGTCAGTAATTCCAAACAGTGTATTTAAACAGGCAGAAATAAGCAAAGAATGAAACCATGAACATAATTGTTTAGAACCCAGGTCACAAAACAGGAAAACGTGCTCAACACCACTAAACAGAAATGGTAGATCATTTGGATCATTCATCAAACAGAAGTGGTGGATCATTCAAGGTTCAGCCAAGGTTCAAGTGCCTGAAAATTGCTTTTGATTACAGCGGTCTTGTTTCTATTTTTAAACTAGTTGCAGAGATAGTCAAAACCCAGAACACAGTCTATCAGCTTTCAGTTATATGAAAACATGATGTAATTTGAAGACAAATGCTGAAAGAAATTGATATGTCACAAGAAGTTATCAAAACTATTTCAGGGCCAACTGCCTCCTTTGACTTTGCAAAGCTATGACAGGGCTGCCAAAGACCTCAAGACTGACAGGTGTTAGTCCCTGTCTCAGGGCAGATTATGGCCACATCCACTGGCACAGAATATGAAAACTAATGAGTAATAAGCCAGCTATGGGATTCACTTGGACAAGTGGCACTCTCTTGCCAGTTTCACAGCTAGCAGAACCCCTAGCTCTGCCAATCACCAAGCTCAGAGACACCTGTCCTGATACTGTTACGCACAGACCATATTGAATGTCAAACTAGTAAAGTGAAAACAAAGCAAACCAATTCTCTCACCTCTATATTTTCACGTAACACCTGAGCTCCTGAAATATATCAGTTTTGCTTCTGACCTTTAAGCCACTCTGACATTCTACTATTAAGATTCAAACCCTGGGACTGATGAGTACAAGGATCCACAAAGCTGGAATATTACATTTGGTCTCAGTACTGAAAGATCTCACACATCCAAGGAACCTTTCACATTTTTTTCATACAAGGTTCGAACATTTGCTAGCCACTCCAGTCAGAAAATAAACACTATCTCCAATAGCAATGTTAGGAATTACTCTCCTAACACCATTCCCAAATATTTGAATTTACTACCAGTCAATCACAAACACAATATTTAAACTTCATTACTTTTATTAATAATCTGAAATATATGTCTGTGTGTGGAAATACACACATATACATGCACAAAACAAAATACATTCACCATCCAAAAGATTAAGTATTTGGACTAATCAGCACTGCAAAAATACCAGTTGCTGAAGAAAACAGCAAGTTAAAAGGACAACTATGGAAAACAAAACATGAACCAGAATGAATCTTCTTATTTCTAAGAGCAACAAAGCATCACTGATGCGGCATTTTTGAAACAGATTTTAGAGCATAGATGGATGATCATATATTTGAAGACAAACCCCGTGCTTTTCATCCAGCCACTTGCTCAGATTTAGGCCACAGCTACTCTAACAAAGGCAGTTGTAGTTTCTTCAGATAATGGCCATAATCTTAAAACGCTCCCAAGGGCAAGAGGTAAGTGATACTCAAATAAAAAATTGCTGTTTCAATCAACAGGAATACAGCAGGACTAGAGAACATACATAGAAGTGTGATAAGGTAGAACAAGCTTCAGCATGAGGAAAAACTAAAGACTTGGGACTATTCTGCCTAGAAAAAGAAACAAATGGTAGTGAAGACAAAGGTTCACTGGAAACCATGATTTTTTAGAACTAGAGTTCTTCAAACTATGTTTAAATAAGTAGTGGAGTCCCTTGTTCAGATGCCATCAGTATATTTAGACTAAAAATGTATATAGATAAATTCAAGAGGGAAAAATCTGTTAGTGATTCTAAACTGGGGGGGGGCGCAGAGTGCTTCAGCCTAGGAAAGCCCTGTGCCACAAAGGCTGAAAAAAACATGGTCTATTCTTCCTTTGGCACTTGCTATTGCGTGCTGTCACTGTAATACAGGGACACAGCTAGGAAAGCACCTGGGCCACTCCTCAGCTCGAGGAAGGCACAGAAGAGAGTCATCACTTCACAGAGCATCAGACTGACAACAGATACAAAGTACAGGGCTAAGCGTACTTTATTCTGGCCACACTGCTAAGGACAAAAATAAACCAGCATCAGGTCCTATGCATAGGATGAGTATTATTCAGTTAGAAAAAAATCTTTGCATCTCTGAAGAAAACATCTAACCCATCTTCTTGGAACAGCTCTCCAGCCTAAAGAGTCTGCACAGACCACTGCTCTCCCTATCACTATATTCATGGGATGCAAAGTTTAGAACAGTGTTCTCTTGAAAGACTGAGGGTTTACCCACACCTATTCTGCCACAAAACCAGATGCTAGAACTTCTGCTGCTCCAGAAATATAAGCTATAGTCTTACACTCTGGCAATTAAAAGACTTAAAAGTGAGGAGCCAGAAAAGCCAAACAAGGAAGGTTAATGTGCATTTCCTGTATCGGTTCCATTTGAAAAACAATCAAAGTAAGATCTTACTTTCAATTTTCTATACAAGAGAAGACACAAAGAAAGAGATAATTTGTTCAATGTATCTATTATTTGTTCCATGTGCCTAGTTAGACACTTTGAGCTCCAGGTTACCTTAAAGTAACCTTCTCTTGACATCACAGCAGTCTCCCTGGTCTGAGCCACAATGATGTTCTCTTTGTCTCCCTTTCAGGATCACCAGTGAGAAATACGGTAGCTAAAGACATGAGATTTATGCACATAATCAAAAAGACAGAAGGATGAAGTTCACCCCAGCTAAAACACTCCTGCACGCATACAATTAGAAACATACAGCAGAATATGCACTGAGTTCTTACCTCCCATTCCTTTGAGTATCTCATCACAATTCCTCTGCACTGGTTGTTGTATTCCTCAATCCCCATCTTCGCCACATCCTCTGGCCCTTTAATGCCTAAGGTCTTGTCAATCTCATATTCCTGGGAGCATTGAAAACAACCAGACAAAAAACCCACGCAGTCATCAAAAGCTTTCAGGATTTCTCTAGACAGTTTATTTATGCTCTATGTACTCTAAAGAGGCTAAAGGGCCTCCTTCATCCTTTGGATATTTCATGAGTATTGCACCTGAACTAACCAGATATTTCAAAGGATAATCCTGGTGGGACTGCTTCTTTACTGTCTCTAGAAAAACCAAATCTTTTCTGAAATACATACTGAACAAATACAAGTTTTTGGTATTGAACAGAGTGCCTGGAGAAGGGCAGCTGTCCAGTAGGGAGCACCTGAAATCACCACACATGCAAAAGCCAGAGCAACACACTGGACAAAGAACTTCCACATCTCTTTCAGCAACAAAGTCAAGCATAAGAGCAACAGAAACATAACTGATAAGCAGGTAACAACACTGGGAAGAGTAACCAACAGAAATATCTCTAGGCAGATTTAATACACATACCACGGGTAAGCCATGGCAATCCCAGCCAAATCTTCTGTCGACATGAAAACCGCTCTGATGAGCGAATCTGGTTACTACGTCTTTAATGGTTCCTGCAAGAATATGGCCATAGTGCGGAAGCCCAGTAGCAAATGGAGGGCCATCATAGAAGTTAAACCTACAACACAAGACAACATTCTTAATTAAATCAAGAACTGAGCATCAACTCTTCAAACAGGGTAAGTGTATCTGTATGCTTATGCTTCTTACGTCTTATTAGGACAACATCTATTTCTTCCTCTTCTCTTACCAGCCAGCACAGGTGGTATGTTGGCAGTGGGACTAAAGGGAACATTTCAACCCGTTCAGCTCCCACTGATTGCTAGTTCTACCAAGATTACTACTGAAAATACCAGCATGCTGCTCCACAGCTGGCAGACATCAGAAAGAGTTGTCCTTGCTTACCTGCAGATTTCTTCTATAAACCAAACAAGGAGGAAATAAGAGGTTTATTACTACTGTTTGTACACTGCGGATTCTTCACAAAGTGAAATATAAATGAGAACTGACATGACAGCAACATTAGCCAAGACTGCTATCTGCAAAGGCAGCAGCTGCTGTTAACAGAACTGAGGCAAAAAAAAAAAAAGAAAAAAAAAGGTCATTACAGCTAAGCTGACCTTGCATTATCACAAACAGTTGCTACAGCTTTTAGCAGGTTCTTACCTAGGTCTATTCTTTGATTGCTTTAGG